ATTAACCCCGTGTGAGTAAGTAAAATATTAAATGCATCCAGTCATCGAAAATCAATTGACTGGAAGTGTTCATAATAATTAAACTGTAAACAACTATGCAATATGATATATTTCTGAAAGATTATGAGCTGATATGTAGAGGAAATAAGAAAATAATACATACAGATTTAATGAGGTAGCATTTCTACTACGTGATTTTCCAGGTAACAGAGGACGTAATTTACACATAAGTCAGATGATGGCAGGTAGATGATAATTTATTGCTACAAATACCTGGAAAATGAATGTCAAAAATATTCATAATTTGTCACTAATGTCAATTTGTGTTTTGGGGACATAAATTCATTTTTTAAATGTAATTCATTACAGCATGGTGAAATTAATCATTAAGAATGCTCATGTACGAGCAGTTGTCAAAACAACAGCACATGGAGAGACAAAATAGTATAAGAACAGCCAGGTGCAAACCATATAAACACTCCCTCAAGTGCTTTAAATATTCAAATGTATATAGAATATAGAATGCACACTATAACAATCTCAAAAAAAACTTTGCTTTATTATGTACAAAAAAGTACCAGAGTGAAAACATATAAAAAAAAGATAAACAAAGTGACAGAAGCAAGGGCAAACACAATAAAACAATAGTAAATTACCACAAAAATTCTTACAAGCCTCCAGACAGAAACACGAGTCACCAAACCCCCCAACATTTCGGCACCAACTGGCTGCCTTTATCAAGGGTACCTGTATCCATGTTCAAATGTGTCTGCTTATAAAGCCCTCTTACAGCTGATGGCCATCAGCACAAAATTGTTACCAGCTCAGGAAGTGACATCATCACCTCAAGTCCTGGCACAATATTTTAATAGTAACATTTTAATATCAAATCAAAACTGATTGGGTGCACTGAAAACATATATGGAGTAAAAAGAGTCATAGGACCTAAAATAATAATAACAGATGTTCTAATAACCAACCTCTATAGACAATAAGTGTACTCCCACTTTATCCGGTGTCCATAACCGCCATCTTACCTATTGGCAGAACACACACAAACACCTGTATAAATATGCTCCACAGGCATCACATCCACTGCTGCGCGCAACGATAGTCCGTGCATGCGTTCTGTAATGAGTGCAGCGCATAGTAACATCCTGCTCGCGCATGCGCATAACGGCAAACTGCCGCGCATGCGCATAGCAACATCCTATTTGCGCAGGCATACTATGTGTGCCGTGCATGCGCGTAGTAACATCCCGCTCGCGCAAGCGCATAACGGCAAACTGCCGCGCATGCGCATAGCAACATCCCATATGCGCAGTCATACTATAATGAGTGCCGCGCGTAGTAACATCCCGCTCGCGCATGCGCATAACGGCAAACTGCCGCGCATGCACATAGCAACACCATACCTGCGCAGGCGCAATACTAAAACAAACTGAAGTACCCCATCGTTCTAAAAAACCACCCACACGCAGTGGACGGCAACTAACAATCAAAATAATGCAATGAGCATTAATAATCTATATTAATTATACTCCATAAGTATCAATACCCCACATACAAATACACTAAGCATATATTACATATGTACATGCAAAAGAGGACTAATAAGAATAAATAGTCATAAATCCACCTTATAAATAGAAAATAATCGGTGAGCCTATACATGAGATATCTACCACCAATATTATAAAGCAAAACACAGGAAAAAAAGACACCAAAAGTGAGGTGCAGAAAAGTATTTTAATTCGACAAACACCCAATGTGTGATAGATAGATTAGTACAGATGCCAAACCGGCAATAATAATACATAGCAGTTCTCCACGTAATACTGACTTAGCTGTGTAATAACTGTCCAAAAAATTAATTCAATACATTAACATATTTACACAACCAAATAAAAATTAGAAAAATCATTCATATTGTACACAATATAATACAATGTAACCCACACATTAAGAGGCTATTCATCATCAATTTAAAGATACAACAACATATTCAGAAATTGCATCACAAGCATGTATCATTCTATAAATATATCAATATTATTAAAGAATTCACTATAAATATATACCATATTAGAATAATCGTTGTCACATCAACTTCATCAATCTGTACACTATACATACCCATGTCAACTACATAGGGTTCACATAGATAAATAACATCATACCACACACAGGAAAACACTACTCATGGCGAAAAGCTCTCGTAGTCGTGGGTATCATCACTCAATATTATCCATATATTAAGTACATAACTGATCCTAGAATGTATATAAACACAATCCGCTACAGTATAGAATACAAAATTATATATACACATGATGGGTCATCATAACCATAACATGAAGCCATTCAACATATATGATGATATATTCTAATTGATTCAGTATTTTTCCGGCACTCTAATATCACAAACATCATGGTCCAAATGGCTACTGCAGCTTCAATCTATAAAAAGAAATAAAAACAAAACATAAAGATACAGACAAAACACAGGCAGAGTAAAACATCGTCAGGATTATAGAAATGGTGATAGATCCTTATCCTCATTCAGACCCTTAGGATACAAAGTCTGCAGCTCATAAATCCAGTATACCTCACGTTGTTTAAGCCTAACCACTTGCGAAATGCCTCCTGTACTGGGTTTAATCACCTCCAAAATCATGTACCGCAATTGGGAAACTGTATGTCTTTTCTCAGCGAAGTGCCTGGCCACCGTATATTGCATCTTTTTCGTCCGTATGTCACTCTTGTGTTCCCTAATCCTTATAGTGAGCGTACGCGTGGTTTCACCCACATACGCTAATCCACACGGGCATTTGAGCATATATACCACAAACTGCGACTGGCAATTACAAAATTCCCGAATCGGGTACCTCCTACCCGTCCTCGGGTGTGAAAAATGGTCTCCCGTAATCACCCCATTGCAGTTAATACAGTGCCCACAGTGGTACATACCTGGTGCCGCAGAAAGCCAGGTGTCAGCTGTATCCATCTTCCCCTGTAGATTGACATTCTTCATTAAATGGTCCCTTAGGCTCTTGTGTCGCTTGAATGAAAACAAAGGTCTCTCATTAAAACAGGGGAGAAGTTTAGGATCAGATTGCAAAATTTTCCAGTGCTTATTAATGATGTGATTAACCTCACTGAAGTGAGTCGAATATGTTATCACACATGGAATACCTTTATTGCTATCCCTAGCCCTTTTCTGCAAGAGGGTATTCCTAGAAAGCATTTTTGCCCTATCCCTGCATCCAGTAACCACATCCGTCCCATACCCTCTAGAAGAAAATGCTTTCACCAATTGTTCAGCCCTGATGTCATATGTAACTTCATCAGACACTATTCTACGTGCCCTGACAAACTGGCCGTATGGTAAATAGAGCCTAAGGGACCATTTAATGAAGAATGTCAATCTACAGGGGAAGATGGATACAGCTGACACCTGGCTTTCTGCGGCACCGGGTATGTACCGCTGTGGGCACTGTATTAACTGCAATGGGGTGATTACGGGAGACCATTTTTCACACCCGAGGACGGGTAGGAGGTACCCGATTCGGGAATTTTGTAATTGCCAGTCGCAGTTTGTGGTATATATGCTCAAATGCCCGTGTGGATTAGCGTATGTGGGTGAAACCACGCGTACGCTCACTATAAGGATTAGGGAACACAAGAGTGGCATACGGACGAAAAAGATGCAATATCCGGTGGCCAGGCACTTCGCTGAGAAAAGACATACAGTTTCCCAATTGCGGTACATGATTTTGGAGGTGATTAAACCCAGTACAGGAGGCATTTCGCAAGTGGTTAGGCTTAAACAACGTGAGGTATACTGGATTTATGAGCTGCAGACTTTGTATCCTAAGGGTCTGAATGAGGATAAGGATCTATCACCATTTCTATAATCCTGACGATGTTTTACTCTGCCTGTGTTTTGTCTGTATCTTTATGTTTTGTTTTTATTTCTTTTTATAGATTGAAGCTGCAGTAGCCATTTGGACCATGATGTTTGTGATATTAGAGTGCCGGAAAAATACTGAATCAATTAGAATATATCATCATATATGTTGAATGGCTTCATGTTATGGTTATGATGACCCATCATGTGTATATATAATTTTGTATTCTATACTGTAGCGGATTGTGTTTATATACATTCTAGGATCAGTTATGTACTTAATATATGGATAATATTGAGTGATGATACCCACGACTACGAGAGCTTTTCGCCATGAGTAGTGTTTTCCTGTGTGTGGTATGATGTTATTTATCTATGTGAACCCTATGTAGTTGACATGGGTATGTATAGTGTACAGATTGATGAAGTTGATGTGACAACGATTATTCTAATATGGTATATATTTATAGTGAATTCTTTAATAATATTGATATATTTATAGAATGATACATGCTTGTGATGCAATTTCTGAATATGTTGTTGTATCTTTAAATTGATGATGAATAGCCTCTTAATGTGTGGGTTACATTGTATTATATTGTGTACAATATGAATGATTTTTCTAATTTTTATTTGGTTGTGTAAATATGTTAATGTATTGAATTAATTTTTTGGACAGTTATTACACAGCTAAGTCAGTATTACGTGGAGAACTGCTATGTATTATTATTGCCGGTTTGGCATCTGTACTAATCTATCTATCACACATTGGGTGTTTGTCGAATTAAAATACTTTTCTGCACATCACTTTTTGGTGTCTTTTTTTCCTGTGTTTTGCTTTATAATATTGGTGGTAGATATCTCATGTATAGGCTCACCGATTATTTTCTATTTATAAGGTGGATTTATGACTATTTATTCTTATTAGTCCTCTTTTGCATGTACATATGTAATATATGCTTAGTGTATTTGTATGTGGGGTATTGATACTTATGGAGTATAATTAATATAGATTATTAATGCTCATTGCATTATTTTGATTGTTAGTTGCCGTCCACTGCGTGTGGGTGGTTTTTCACGATGGGGTACTTCAGTTTGTTTTAGTATTGCGCCTGCGCAGGTATGGTGTTGCTATGTGCATGCGCGGCAGTTTGCCGTTATGCGCATGTGCGAGCGGGATGTTACTACGCGCGGCACTCATTATAGTATGACTGCGCATATGGGATGTTGCTATGCGCATGCGCGGCAGTTTGCCGTTATGCGCTTGCGCGAGCGGGATGTTACTACGCGCATGCACGGCACACATAGTATGCCTGCGCAAATAGGATGTTGCTATGCGCATGCGCGGCAGTTTGCCGTTATGCGCATGCGCGAGCAGGATGTTACTATGCGCTGCACTCATTACAGAACGCATGCACGGACTATCGTTGCGCGCAGCAGTGGATGTGATGCCTGTGGAGCATATTTATACAGGTGTTTGTGTGTGTTCTGCCAATAGGTAAGATGGCGGTTATGGACACCGGATAAAGTGGGAGTACACTTATTGTCTATAGAGGTTGGTTATTAGAATATTAACATCTGTTATTATTATTTTAGGTCCTATGACTCTTTTTACTCCATATATGTTTTCGGTGCACCCAATCAGTTTTGATTTGATATTAAAATGTTACTATTAAAATATTGTGCCAGGACTTGAGGTGATGATGTCACTTCCTGAGCTGGTAACAATTTTGTGCTGATGGCCATCAGCTGTAAGAGGGCTTTATAAGCAGACACATTTGAACATGGATACAGGTACCCTTGATAAAGGCAGCCAGTTGGTGCCGAAATGTTGGGGGGTTTGGTGACTCGTGTTTCTGTCTGGAGGCTTGTAAGAATTTTTGTGGTAATTTACTATTGTTTTATTGTGTTTGCCCTTGCTTCTGTCACTTTGTTTATCTTTTTTTTATATGTTTTCACTCTGGTACTTTTTTGTACATAATAAAGCAAAGTTTTTTTTGAGATTGTTATAGTGTGCATTCTATATTCTATATACATGTACGAGCAGTTGAACATACTGAAAAGCTACATAAATAAAATCAGTTATACATACTCTTTGGTAGTATTGTATAATTATAATATATATAAACAATACGGGGGGCGTGGTCTGGACCTGAACGCGAGCGGTCGCATGTTCTGCTAGCTCCGTGGAATTTAGGCCCTCACACAACTTTTATGACCCAAATCTAAAGGAAAACTGAGCACCAAAGACTATCCAGACCATGTCTCATAACAAAAACAAAAGAACGTCCGATAAACAGGACAAATTACACTTTTTCGGCGCCAAACAGGGGCAAGCAAGAGGAGCAGTGATACAGGAGGAATCCCAAGATGGCGCCGAGACAGACAGCGAACAAGGAACAAACACAGAGGCTACAGGCCTAATACTCACAACGGAGGGGCTGCAAGCTTTGTTCGATGACATGGTGGCGAAATTACAAGGTACGCTGCAGCGATCATTTACAGACCTCCGCACCGATATCCACAAATTAAGCTCCTCGGACCTAGAAAACCACATGGAGGCACAAATGGAGGCACACAACTGCCTAACTACTAAGGTGGAAGAAGCATAGGACAGATTGAATGACTACGAGGCCAAAATTGCAGACATGGAGGACCGCGCACAACGCAGTAACTTAAGACTGCGGAATGTGCCCGAAAACATAAGCCCCCAGGATCTGCCCGCCTATGCAACGGGGCTCTTCTGTCTTCTTGTACCTGACTTACCACAAGACGTCTTGCTGATGGATTGTATCCACAGAGTGGCAAAACCCTAATATCTACCCACAGACACACCAAGGGACATTGTCCTGAAAATGCATTACTATCATGCCAAGGAGGCGGTTCTCAAAGCAAGCCGGGCACGCAAAGACCTACCTACAGAGTACCAGAAAATCTGAATCTTTGCAGACATCTCCGCCATGACACTCAGGAAGAGGAAGACCTTCAGCACCATTACAGAACTCCTGCGAAACAACAGCATCACGTATAGGTGGGGATACCCGACTAAGCAACTGATACAGCGAAACGGCACCCTCACGGCGATTACATCCCTGGAGGACGGCCTGCAGAGATTAAAAGACTGGGGTCTCAATCCACCTGCCGCGCAACCGGAGACAGCTTCTAATGGATGCCAACCCTCTGCATGGAAGAAGGCGCGCAAATAGCCACCGGACCGCAGAGCACAAAGTATTCATGGACTTTTCTTGAGCCAGCAAGTATTTCTTGTTGTCGCATTATATACAGACATAAAGTATAGCCATCCTAATACATATTGTTAATGTAAATGTAGCTATCAAATTAGCCATACCAGGCCGGGCGATGTACATACAAAAAGTAGCCGGGAAATGCTATAATGCATCAAATGAGTATCAATAAGGCTCAAGCTAGCACTTCCCAATAACATTACTATTATGTCTACGTACAAACCTACTTCCCATATTACTAATAGACGTGCTAAAAATAATAATAATAATAATAATTATAGAAAAAAATATAAACAAAACAGATTAAATAAATAAAAACACACGAAGAGAAACATACCAAGCACAATGTCCTAGAGAACCCTATGGCCACATAATATCAAAAGCAAGGCTAACCAAAACACTCTATTATAAATGAGGTATCAGCACAACATAACCAAATGGGTCAACATATAAGTTAACAAATTCAGGAGGGCCGCCCTCGCGGTAGCACCCTCAACCAGGATCGAAGCACTTCACTCCGACCCCCACGGTTCCCCATATGGGAACCTTGCCATATTTCTGGCACTTTTGTTCATAATTCTATATGAGTTTGAATGTTGCATTGTACATTGTACATAGTTCAGTAACCTGTCTTTTCACTGTTACGAAACCTTACCTAAAACCTTTCCTCCTATATCAGGGCCTAGTGGGTGGCCCAGCCACAATGTCCACCATCTATGGTGACGAACTAAATGTGCTCCTAATATCGAAGCCACACTTCGGGAAGACATGCATAACAAATAAACTGAGGGTCTTAGCAAGAGGGTTCTGCCTGGCTCGAAAAAGCTGAGTAAGGCAGTACCTCATGGTAGAACAATATCAACTGGGTGCTTTGTGGAGCTGTGAATAAAGACCTCAGTTGACTCCCAGCCTATGTGTCGTCTAGTTCTTGGGAAGGAAGGATTACTACCACGCTACTTGGATTATTGCATGCTGTACTGATTCCCCTGGATTATCCTTTGTTGTTCCTGTTACCCAGCGGAGATACTGTGGATTATACTACCTCTCCGCTACACTATCCGACTCCCTAAAAAACTTCTTTGCAGACAATGCCAACCCCGAACTATCGCACCACACAATATGGCAAGCACACAAAGCCATGGCACGGGGATTACTTATAAAACAAGCATCATACATAAAACGGAAAACAAAGACACAAGTGCTAAATTGGCAAAAAGACATTTACATCCTAACGACACAAAACCAAATCCACCTCACAACCCAACTGAAAGAACAAATATCCCACATACGCCAACAGCTACGCCAACATGCGCTCTATAAAACAACTTAAGAAAATTAAAAGCATCACATTACTCCCAAGGGAATAGAGCAGGACGACTGCTGGCATCTAGGCTCAAAAAACAGCAGCAAACACAGAAGATAGCATATTATTATTATTATTATGATGATGATGATGATAATGATGATGATATTTATAGAGCTCCGTCAAATTCCGCAGCGCTTTACAATGGGTGGACGAACAGACATGTAGTTGTAACCAGACAAGTTGGACACACAGGAACAGAGGGGTTGAGGGCCCTGCTCAATGAGCTTACATGCTAGAGGGAGTGGGGTAAAATTACACAAAAAGGTAAGGATAGACTAGTGACAGTTGCAGAAGAGGAATCAGTCAGGAGCTATTAACAGTTTAATTGATACGCTTTTATAAAGAAGTGGGTTTTTAACGATTTTTTGAAGGAGTGGAGACTGGGTGAGCATCTAACGGAGGAGGGAAGCGAGTTCCACAGGAACGGTGAAGCCCTCGAAAAATCTTGAAGGTGAGCATCAGAGGTGGGAGTACGGACAGAAGATAAACGTAAGTCTTCAGCAGATCGTAAGGGCCTAGACGGGACATACTTGTGTATAAGGGAGGATAGATAGGTGGGAGCAGCATTATGTAGAGATTTGAAGGCAAGAACCAGAATTTTAAATTGAGCTCTATATTTGATAGGAAGCCAATGTAGGGACTGACTGAAGGGTGAGGCATTGGAGGTGCGGGCGGATAGGAAGATGAGCCTCGCCGCATTCATTATGGACTGTAATGGCGCAAGTTGGGAGCACGTAAGACCACTGAGAAGTGGATTACAGTAGTCAAGGCGAGAAAGGACAGTGTAATGGACCAACACCTTAGTCGCATCTGGCGTTAAGTAGGGGTGGATGCGCGCAATGTTTTTGAGATGGAAATGACAAGATTTGGCGATAGATTGAACATGAGGCTTGAAGGAGAGGTCGGAGTCAAAGAGAACACCTAGGCAGCGAGCCTGCGTGGTGGAGCTGATGGTAGCACCGTTGACTTGGAGGGAGACAGACACAGGAGTAACAACACTTGAGGGAGAAAAGACCAGAATTTCAGTTTTGGTCAAGTTTAGTTTAAGGAAGTGGGCAGCCATCCAGTTAGAAACAGCAGAGAGGCAGTCAGAGATAGTAGTCAAGAGGGATGGGGAGAGACCAGGAGAGGACAGGTAGATTTGCGTGTCATCTACATGATATTGGATGCCAAAGGAGCTAATGAGTTTACCAAGGGAGGCAGTATAGATGGAGAATAGTAGGGGACCAAGGACTGAACCTTGGTGGACACCAACAGTGAGGAGGTGGGGAGAAGAAGCAGAGCCAGAGAAAGAAACACTGAAAGAGCGCTGGGAGAGCTAGGAGGAGCACCAGGAGAGAGCAATATCTTGTAGACCGATATTGCGGAGGATGAGAAGAAGCTGTTGATGATCAACAGTGTCAAAAGTCGCAGACAGGTCAAGGAGAATTAGGATAGAATAGTGACCACAAGATTTTGCAGCGAGTAGATCATTAGATACTTTGGTCAGTGCCGTTTCCACAGAGTGCTTAGCGCAGAAACCAGACTGAAGCGGGTCTAGCAGAGAGTTGGACTCGAGGAAGTCTGTCAATTTCACATACACAATTTTTTCAAAGCTCTTGGATGCAAAAGGCAGTAGCGAAATAGGACGATAGTTGGATGGGGAGTTAGTGTCAAGATTGGGCTTCTTTAGAATTGGGGTTACAGTTGCATTTTTGAAGGGCAATGGAAATATACCAGAGGAGAGAGAGA